GAAATTCGAAAGTCTCGGAATCACTGACAATCTACTTGCATGTCTCAGAAGATCCCTCATTGGCGGAAGACAGTGTTGGGACTGCTTCTGTCTTCTCCTCCTGAAATTTGTTGAAGAGTGCCACAAGGCACCGTCCTGGGTCCCATGCTATTTCCCATGTACATAAGCTAGCTGCCGAACTTCACGAAATCCCCCGTGGTTCTGTATACTGATGACAGAAAAATCCGGCAGGAAATTAGGGATAACCAAGATATGCGTGCACATCAGATAGACCCATACAGCTTGTCTGCCTGGTCAAAGAGGTGGCTGATGCCTGTCAGTGCAGGTAAGTGAGCACGCATGTGTGGTACACGGACGACAACACCCACGACATTGGTGGGACTCTTCTACCGTCAGTTCTGGCCCACAGTGGTCTAGGAGTCACAAAAAGTTACTTTAGGAATTTTCCTGGTGTGAAATATACAGAGACAGAGGCCAATCACTAATTATTCGAACTTGTCATACACCCACGAATACGAGATCGAGAAAGAACAAAATGGCGTAGTCGGATGGAACATTGTATTTGCCAGGTCGTGCCAAAATACCGATGCGTCCCAACTAACTGACTAGAGAGTCGATTACGAGCAGTGCAGCATAACACGACAGCGTTCCAAACAGCGTGGATGCTTGACCGTATGCCTTCAGCTTAGCGAGTCTGGTAAAACTATGAAGGTCGGCATCAACGTTGGATCTCGCCAAACCCTATACTATTGATTCTGGAGAAGCGGATGACGCCACAGACCACTCCCCCCTAGTGGGTTCGTGAGGACCCTAAGACAATACCAGCCGGGAGTAAAAACCCAGTGACTTCCCCACCGGTAAAACTCTTCCGACGGGCTCACTGCGAGAAGTGACCACTGGTTGTCTGAACTTATCTTAGGGTGTCGTGGCAAATGAAAACGAAATGCAGTGAATCTAGTTGTACGTCAGCCGCGGTCCTCGGTGTCCTTTGACGTTCCGTTCGGTGCTCGTTTCACCCGGAATATAAGTAAAAGTCTTTACTACCACTAAAACGTTTCTGAAAGAGGGAAGCTTTTATATGTAAATATTTCGAAAATAAAGTTTATATTTGTGTACATTATTTTGAAAATGCATGATTACAGGGTAGTAAAAAACTGACACAGAAAGGCAAAATGCAGGAAGATTTTCTCATTCCCAGTAAATACAAAACGTGCTGCCTCGAAAAAGCAATTTTGAATTTAAAAATGGTCGGCACATCTTATTTCACACTGCTTAGTTGGGTACGACTTTAAATACTCCCGAAGCCCGACGTTCCGAGCTGATCGTGTTTTATGTTGCGCTGGTGGTCGTTGTATCTGTGTATTACCAGGCACATCTTCAAGAATTTCGATAGCTGGATCATCCACTGGTCGGTTATAGTGAGCTGAAACACCACTTATGCCGGGGTTGCCTCCGGAATAAACTGGTTTCAAACGGTCTATACTAACGGTATCCTCACACCGATTTCACTCGATCATGTAGAATTTCTCGTGCCACTTGATCACCCTGAACTGCCCATCGTAAGGTGGCTCAAGTGGTCAGCGAACAGCATCGTGGCGGGTCAGCACTTGCGATGTCTTGTAAATCGGGGTGAATGAAGACATCGGTCGTTTGAGGTCTAACCGGAGTAGGCCTAACTGAACCCATTGCGTCTGTAAGCCCAGTCACGTAAGATATCCCACCGAAAACGTGTTTGCGAGTTGAAAGGGAAACAAATTCGCCCTGTAGGCAAAGGGTAGTCCCACAGACGAATTCTACAGAGGTGCATCCAGCATCAGCTCTCCCCGCGTTACGAATGCTTAGTAGGACTAGAGACAGAGGCTTGGTCTACTGAAGTATGTTTTCAGCTGGGAGGGAAGTTATCAGCTGTCGTTGGAAACTGTCTACCATGCCATTTGCCCGTGGATGGTAGGCTGTCGTTCGGAACCGAGTGCAACCTGAAAGTGCAGTTAAAGCGTGGAATAATCCACACTCCAATTAGCGCCTGCGGTCAGTTGTTACGTAGGATGGACATCCAAAGTTCACGACCCGTCTTTAGACGAAAACACGAGCAACTGTTTCGGAAGTAATATCCTTGATAGGTACTGCCTCTGGCCATCGTGAAAAGGTTAGCACATCCATTAAATTCTGGTGGGGATCTCACAATGTCTGTACGGACGTGGTTGAAACGCGTATCCGGGGTTAGCAAAGAACCTAAGGGGCTCTTCGTGTGTCACGTGACTTTGCACTTCTGATAAGCTAAGCACGACTAAGCCCACTGCTTGACGCTTTCGTTCATTCCCGGCTAGCAGGAACGTTGTGCAATGAGCCTGATAGTGGCTGGCACACCTGGATGGGACAGCTTATGCAACGCACTTAAGCCGCTGTGTCGGTACCCCTTTGGAACTATTGGGCGTGGTTGACTAGCAGAGACATCGCTTAATATTGTATCCTCGCCTGATCCTACTGGTCACAGTTGTAGCTTGAGAGTTGTGGACGACAACTCATGATACAGCTCAAGGTCTTCTTTTGACACCAAGCCAGTTCAGCGAAACCAATGCCGTTGATATGGTTTATCGAGGCTACTCGAGATAGTGCGTCGGCCGCGGAGTTACTTGCTCCAAAAATGTGGTTAATATCTGATGTGGACTGGGAAAGGTAATCCAGTTGTCGCGACTCACGAGGTAAATACGTGTCAGATGCCTGGTTGAGAGGGAAGGTTAACGGTTTGTGGTTTGTGAAAATAAAGAAGTCACGACCTTCCACCGAATGTCGGAAATGGCGTACAGAACAGTACATAGTTGGGAGTTCCCTACCAAATGTACTGCCTGATCTCCGCCTCTCCCAACCACCTCGAGAAGGAGGCCTAAGGTTGCCACTGGTCGTCAGTCAACCTTCGCAAAACTCCTCCAACTGCTGGGTCATATGCAGCAATACTCAAAGGAGAATTGAGGCCGTGATGCACAAACATGGCTGCGATTGGAACGGCTTCATTGACTTCAGAGAAAGCAAGTCTAGCTACGTCGTCTAGGGTCAGGCACTTCGTAGTCCCTCGAAGTGGGTCTATTAGGGGTTGCATGACAGAGGCACGGTCAAGGATAAACTTTCGGTAATAACTTACCAGGCCACTGAAGGTGCGGAGCTGCTTCACAGTGGTCGGCCCCGGATAGTTCGTGATAGCTGTCGCTTTATCTTTCAATCGCCGCATACCTTTGTTGTCAGTGGTATGCTTAAGGAAGCTGAGAATACCCCTTCAAATGCTAGTTTCTGGAAGGCAGATTACCTTCTGATTGGAAACGAGTGGCTGTCGTCCCAATTTATAAAGGTGGTAACAAACTAATTGCCTCCAACTGCAGACCGATCTACCTGATCTCTCCAGTTGCTAAGGTTATGGAGAGAGTCATAAATGACTCACTACGTGATCACTTACTTAAGAAATCAATCCTAAAATGCTGTCAACATGGTTTTCTACCAGGAAGGTCATGTAACACCAACTTGTTGATGGCTTGGAATAGCTGGACACTCTCTGTCGAGCAGGAAAAGCCCATTCACATTGGTTTACTTGGCTTTTCTAAAGCCTTTGACAGGGTAAATCATGACATCCTTTGTAAGAAACTCGAGCTTATGGGTGTACGCAGAAAATTGCATATTTAATTCAGATATTATCCGTACGCCAGGGTGCAGTCAGAGTTGGCTCCTGTCTATCTAATTGGTTCCCGATGCCGAGTGGTGTGCCACAACTTTCTATACTGGGCCCACTACTGTTTCTTGCTTTTATCAATGATCTACCGGGGGTCATTAATTCTCATTCACTATTATATGCCGATGATCTGAAGATTTGGAGAGAAATACATGATCCTACGGATATTTCGGTCTTCCGGGAGGACCTTACGAAAAACCTTAATTGGACTACAGAAAACCTGCTCCCTTTCAGCTCGAAGAAGTGTCGAGTTATGATGGTTGACAAACATAAAGGCAGTTCTAGTTCTTACTCTCTAGGTGAAATAAATGTCTGCCACTCTAACATGGAACAAGATCTGGAAGTTGCACTAGACGATACACTAGGAGCCTCAGTCCACTGTCGCCTTGCAGACAATAAGGCTAATGGAATCCTGGGGTTTCTTTCTCGAACTTCAGGGTGTCTAACTCCTCTTTTCACCACAGTGTATGCTCTGTACAGTCGCCCTCATCTAGAGAGAAATTCGCTTGTGACGTCCCCTTACTTGAAAAAGGACATAGCCATAGTAGAACGGGTACAGAGAAGAGCCACAAAGAAAGTGATTGGGTTACGGCATAAACCGTACCCAGACCACTTGGTTGCTCTTCAGCTGCACTCACTACAATACCGGAGGATCAGAGGGGATATGATCACGATGTACCACATCGTTCATAATCCCCTCCATCCTAACAGATCCCTTCTAAGCTTTAATTTGAAACGCGAGGGGTCACCCGCTGAGAATAGAGCATTTGAGATCACGTACAAAGATCCGTGCTACCTCATTTACGGTTAGAGTCTGTAGGCTCTGGAACTCCCTACCTTCAGCAGTTGTTACAGCCCCATTCCTGATACTTCCAAAAGGAGGCAAGACGTACACCTCGAGTCCTACGGTACTGATGGGCTGCACTGGAGAAGCTTTCCGCAGATCAGATGCAGTAATACTATCTTGAGACTGGATTAATGAATAAGCGTATCTCTATCCTTTCAGGTTTTTCAGAACCATGGAAATAATTATGACCATTCCGAACTCGAGACGCACTACAATAAGACAGACGTAGAACCCAGGGAACCGCCGTTTACTAATTCTATAACACGAAGTTTGAAGTTTGACTCTTGGAACCGAATCCCAGAAGTGGTGACAGAGTCATCAGTCGACTCGTTCAGAAGAGTGCTGGACAAGGAAAGAGATCTATCTCAGAAAGATTAACATAGGCTCACACACTCTTTAACTTTAAAACAGTAAATGTAAATCTGAGCATTGGAACAGTCTTCGTAGTTTCACGCTTTTCATCTGGGTTGGCGCGGCGTTTTTGCATGTAAAGTTACAACAATGCCTCCGAAGAAAAACGAGCCTTCCAAGAAAAATGTCGACAAACAAAAGCAGAAGGTTATCGAGGTAATTCACGAATTTTTAGTGTTATTCAAACACAGGACAAAACTTTCGGAATGAAAAATAAAAAGGGAGCGAAGCAGCAGAAATTTATTCAGCAAGTGCAAAAGCAAGTTACTCAAGGAAATAAGTCAGCTAAGGAGGTGAGTTGTGTTTTTCTTTTCGAACAACTCAGTTGGAACGTGAAAAACTCAATAAAAAGGAAGATAAAAGCCGTGAGAAGCTCGAGCTGAATGAACTATTCAAGCCTGTGCTGGAACTTCAGAAGTGTGCGAAAGGTGCTTGAATACCCTTCTAGTTGACTCCTTTTTCTAGGTGTTGATCCCAAATCGGTTCTTTGTGTCTTCTTCAAACAGGGTTTGTGCGCCAAGGGTGACAAGTGCAAGTTTTCTCATGACCTTATGGTTGAAAGAAAGGCTGAAAAGCGTGGGATATATTCAGAGTCCGAAAAAACGGAGGGTACTATGGATGACTGGGATATCAGCAAACTTGAGGAAGTAATCAGTAAAAAGCACGACGATGATAATAAAGGTTTACCACCTAGCACTATTGTAAGTGGCTCACTCATTGGTTCTAGGACCTTAGGTATGTAGGTACTTCCTTGATGCTGTGGAGAATTACAAATATGGTTGGTTTTGGGAGTGTCCAAACGGAAAGACGTGTCATTACAGACATGCTTTGCCACCAGGTTTGTATGGTTTCTGGTCTTACTCTCCTAGGCTTTGTTTTGAAGAGAGACCAAAAAAAAATGGATGAGCAGAAGGAAGTCATATCGATTGAAGATTTGGTTGAACGAGAGGTACGTTAAATAATTAGGCTTTCCCAATTATAGGGTATGTTGAAGAGTAATTTTCATAGTTTAATTTCTATTGGGGTCAGTTAATACAACGTTAAAAGTTTATTTTCAGTGTAAACTTCATGTTCATGCCTTCTTCCTACTTTGTTTGCTCCTTGTCTTTTCAATTTACAGTTGTACTGTTTTCCTTGTGTTATGAGTTTTCCACCCACACTTTTCTGTTTCTCGGATTTGGTGAGTATAGGAGAGGTAAACCACTACTATTTCGATGAATTCAGACAGAAACGTAACCATCTGATGCAATAATGAAGGAATCTAAGTTGTTACGCATCACTTCGTCACTATGAGAATCTGTTGACCCGAGGAGGGAAAAAGCAAAGTGATGTAGATGATGACATAGGTGTTATTATAAGTGAAAAAAGACAATGTGCCGAGTTATAAACGCCATTGAAACTGATTTCAAGCTGAGTTACGTCGTCTTATGCGCTTCAACCACAAAGTTTTCGCTTTCCTACAAAGTGTTGAAGACTGTGTAGATTGGTGCTATATCTTGGTTCAAACACCAATCTTTACGTCACAGTTGACTGCAGCTAAGCTATATCCAGGTAGGCAGTCGTTAAGCCCATCTAGAGAACATATCAACCTTTTCAAGACATTAATTTTCATGACCTAGCGAGTGGACTTACTGCGCCTCTCTGGTATTCTATGCTTATCTACCGCACTGCTCATTTGATGACAGATAAGATAATCAAGTAAAAGCAAAAGGAAAACTCATAAAAGAGTCAAATAAATGGAGAGTTACCATTTGCTCTTTGTTCAAGGAACGGGAGCGATATTTTGTGATAAGCACAGGGAAGTCATTCTGACTAGTATAATATCTGGGATTTTGGATTCTTTAGTTATTGGAAATTTAAGTTGAGCTGGAAAAGAGCAAACTGGAGAAAACTAGGTAGGACTAAAAATAATGGTGAAACTCGCTTCTGTCTCTTTGTAATCTATGCTTGCACACCCACTGACTGCAGCTCGGATGAAGTGAAGGACGAATTCTACCGAAAACTGTCTAGCCTCCTTTCGAAAGCTAAACACTCAAACGTGGTGGTTGTTGCAAGCGACTTCAGTGCACAGGTGGGTAGATTGAGTGAGGCAGAAAGGCACTTAGGTGACACTTTCAGAGTCCCGGCTGAACGAACAGATAATTATCGCCTACTACAGCTGTGCTCAGATAACCGCCTATTTTTAGCTAGCACAAATTTCAGACAAAGAAAAACACTATCTGACGTGGCCTCCAGCGAGCTCAACTCAGCCGTGAACACAGATGGACCACATTGCTATTAGTCATCGCTGGAGAGGATCGGTGGAAGACTACCGCTCCTTCTGGAGTACATGTTTAGATAGCGACCACGCGTTGGTCCGAGCGCGTATATGCCTGCATCTCAATGGACTTAGGAAAAATTTGACAACAAAACCACCACGAGTGCAGCTCGACAACCAAAGCATCAAAGCCGCTTTCAGTGAAAAATTGGCTAGGCAGTTATCGGAACAAAAGACTATCATTCATCCAGAAGGAGCTTGGTGCCATCTGCAGTCTTCTGTAAATGCAGCGCTGAAGACCGCAGCCGACTCAGAAAGAGTGGCTAAAAAGAGCCAGTGGATATCAGCAGCTTCTTTCGAACTAATGGATACACGTGAACGCATCTCTGCAGAGTGTGTACAATGAAGAGCAAGCACAACTTAAAAGTAGGTTGAGAAAAAGTCTACTCAACGACCGCGAACAGTGGTGGGCAGCGAAGGCTAAAGAGAAGGAAAAGGCAGTGGTGATTAGTAACAGTAGACAGTTATTTAAACTTATTCAGAAAACTGGGGGGAAAAGGTCAACAACAGTTAGTGAGACCGTAGCGGAGAAGGATGGGTCTGCGATTCACTCGCAGGGGAGATGACTGCAGCGATAAGCAGAACACTTCAAGGAGCAGTTTAATTGACCTCCAGCCACCATTATGTTGCCTGCTATCCAGTCGAATCCTGAATGGAACATTGAGATAGGCCTCCTAACACTCGCAGAAGTCGAGAAAGCAGTAGGTCACTTAAAACGAGGTAGGGCGGGAGGACCAGACGGACTAACTCCTGAGGTATACAAGGATGGTGCTAAGGTGCCCTTAGTCAGGTTAACGGAAGTGTTAACCAGTATATAGGAATCAAATATGATCCCCTCTCACTGGTCTAAATCACTGATTATCCCAGTCTTCAAGAAAGGTGATTAGTCCTCTTGTGATAACCATAGAGGAATCAGCCTGACGAACATATTGTATAAGATCCTACATTCTGTAATCATTAGATGCCTGAATGAAGCTCGGGAACAGCAAGCCCGAGGAAGCCAGGAAGGCTTTAAACCCGGCCGCTGGTGTATTGACCAAATATTCACACTGCGCCAGGCTCTGGAACACAGGCACGCTTGCCGACGCCCGACACTAGCTGTATTTCTCGACCTGAAGGCGGCATTCGACTCCATTGATGGCAATGTCTCATTGAAAGGCTTGCCGAGTAAGTACATCACCTTATTAAAGGCTCTTTACTCGGTCACTTGTGGGCGTGCTAGAGTCTATGGTGAGATGTCCGGGGAGCTGTGCTCATTGAGTGGTGTCCGTCAATGGATACCCACTCTCTCCATTCCTAATGAATTTCACCATAGATATTCTTATAGAGGTTTCCCTCTCGTCGCCTGACTGCACCGAGGTTGACCTAATCACAGGAGAATTTTTTTAAGACCTAGAATATGCAGATGACATAGTCTTTTTAGGTGAAGACGCTGACAAGATGCAGATTCTTCTGAACATTTTGAGTGGCAAGTTGAGAATGTTTGGGATGTGTTTTTCACCACCTAAATGCAAATTGTGGCTCCATGATTGGTCTTCAACAGTGCCTCTGCTAACAGTAGAGAGTGAAGTGGTTGAGTGTGTTGACCACTTCACTTATCTGGGAAGTGAGATCAGCCCTAGTGGCTCAGTAGGCTGACGGATTTTCTGCATGAATACAAAAGGCTCGGTTAGTTTTTGCCAACTTACGCCACCTATGGCGCCGCCGTGATATCCTATTATCTATTAAGGGTCCATTATACTGCGCTGCGGTTTGCTTTCTATTATATAGCCGTAAAAGTGTTATTGTAGAAAGAGTACATAAAAATGCTTGAGATGTGCAACCTCCGTTGTCTTAGTAGTATAAATCCTGTATGATGGTACCAGCACTCCCGTAACGTAGAAATCGGGGGTGGAGGTTCATGGTGAAGGGAAAAGTCAGTTATTAAGGTCATGAACCTTCATCGACTGAGGTGGCTGAGATATGCATGCTTAGCCACCGTTTAATCCGAGGTGGGATATTGGCTGAAGTAGGTTAAAGCTAGGAATCGTTTCGGGGGGGGGGAGGGACCCGGTTAAGACATGGTATCATAGTCTCTTACTGTTGGTCTAAGAATAAAAACTTACCACGTGACAGCAGAAACCATTAGTTTTAGACTTTTTGGCGATATGCCTCAAAACCAATCTCAGTGGCTCAGATGATTCCACGCATTATCTTCATTTTAACAGTGATACTGAATTTCAGTGTTCTTATCATTCCTTGTTCGTTCCTCGTACCTTTCTAACACTTTTGACTGCTTTTTCTCTGTTCATTTATCTCTTGTTTTGCTTATCTGGGGTTGACAACATGGACCGTTACGCAGTAATGTAACATCATATATGGCGTATATCTGTCTGTTTGCCTTATGTTTTGCTTAAGATTTTGCTAAGTTCATAAAGGAGGTGTATCTGTATCGACCAGATCGATTTCAAGGATTATCATACTTCTCGTAGCTGAAATCTCAAGAGCGTTTTAATTAGTATTTCTTAACATAACGCTTGCCTAATGCCGTTATATACAGCATACACTTTCACCGACGAAGTGCATGCTGATCCTATATTATTGTCAGGAACCTATTCCTGCACTCATCCTTGATAGTGAATCCTCCATATTCGTCAAAAAATGTGTGTATCTGAGTCGTCATGTGAATTCTCGAGTAGGTGTGACTGATCAAATTTGTAATGGTACATTGAAAATCAGGGTGGTATACGTAAATCTGGATCACCCTCTGCATCACTGTAATGTGAGCCTGGATACAAGAGGTTGTGTGTATGCACAGGTTGATTGTGCAATGGGTTAGTGTGGGTAATCCTATTTTATTTCTATAGAAACTGGTCTTTTGGGACTGAGGATATCCAGTGACTGTGTGTTTTATTACTATTGCTATCATCCGGTGGAAATAAAATGTGATTTTAATGTGCAGAAGCACTTGTTTAAGTGGATGTGCTTGAGGTTGTCATTCACTGGGTGGTTATGTTGATGGATGTCACCTCAGCGACTATGCTTCTCCTATTCAGTGTTTGTTAGCCGTATGGGTGAATGTAAGAAACGGAAATGTCGTTAGCGTATGAGGGAGGACGGTTGATTGAAAAAGGTTGTGTTGGGATAGCATCTGTTGGTACCTGAAGGTTACTACGCCACTCAGTGGCTCAAAATGATGTCAGATATGTTTTAGAGTGGAAACCAGTAGTGACCATGCTTTAGCTTTCTTGTTTCTTCTGTTTTGGGAAACTAAAATAAACGTGATGAACACTTCGGTGTATTTTTGAGACTGGTTGTCTTGTGGTCCATTCGTTTCTGTGCTTCTGCTCTACAACTCTTCGTAATGTCATATTGTTTTGTGTTGCATTTGTTGGCACCGATAATATTGAACTAAGTGTATGTTTTGTAGAAATGAGGATAGTGAGGACATACCAGTTGTTTCTGAGACACATGTTTCCAAGGTATAATGTAAGACGTAGGGTGATAATCGATTTTGTTTAATAATTCTCGGGTATTGTCTATGTGACTGTTTGTATTCAAAATCGGTTAGCTTTTAAAAGATGTAAAACGGAGGTCATCTAGTTGACTTGGAATATGCAGACTATATCGTCCTGCTGGGTAAAGACTGACAAAATGCAGGGTCTTCTGAACGGCTTGAGTAGACCTCTGTGTATGTTTGGCATGCGTTTCGTACCTGTCAAATGTAAGATGATGCTCATGGAGTGGTCTACTGCGAACACTCTCACTTACGTCATCTGTGGCGTCGGTGAGATATCCAGCTCTCTATAGCGATGAGCATACTGCACTTCAATCCCTTCTGTCCCGTTATACTGCTGTGAGACATGTCTGTTTAAAGTAGGCGACATGAAGTGGTTGGGTAGTTTTGATCATAGATGTCGTCGTAGCATTGCTCACTTTTTTAATGGGATCAAGATGTGGACAATGTTGAGGTCAGGCGAAAGATACTAGGCAAGACAGGCAAGTCGATTGACGAGGTTGTGAACCTTAGTCGACTGAGGGGGCTTGCACATATACTGCGCATACTGAACCACCGCCTTCCTCGATGTGCCATGCTAAGGGAAGTTGGATTAAGATGACAAAGGGTTCAGGGTGTTCAGATCAATATGTGATACCAATTGATGAACTCCCTGTCTGTTGGCTTGAGCCATGTGGAGAGGTGTAGACTGCTTGATTGGGATCCTGGAGACGAAAGGAGTCAGTGGTTGAGGACTGACTGTTGTTGGAATGGTGAAGATCGGTCGCACTGGCACAGATATATTCACTCCTTGATATCTTCTAAAGCTTGAATATTTGCACTAACCTTTGTCTTTAAATTGTTTATTATCTCATGCTACTTTATCTACTTTGATATCACTCGTTTTCTATCTACCTGTTCTTTATGTAATTCTGTGAAGTGTGGCAACTTGAGCCTATACACTTTTGTTTGAAGTTCTACGTTGATTTTGTCAGTCAGTCAGTTATAAAATGCATTCCTAACACTCAGATTCTGTACAACGTTTTTCCACTTCCCTCTGTAACAGGACTTCGTCTTATTCATCCTAAATGGTTGTTTTCTGCTAAGAGATTAGCTGATAAGCATTTGAAGGTAATAATGCTCCCTCATTTAACGGAACACAAAATCAATTCGATTTGATTGCCAAATATACATCACATGACCTATTTACATGTAGTTGGGTTAATATATTGAGTTCGTTCTTATTAAAGATCACCAATCGCCGTAGTATAATGATACAAATCAGGAACCACATGTAGGTGAATGCAAAGCCAGTGAATCATTTGTTTTGTGAGTGCTTAAGATACTTCTTGGGCATGCAAACCTCGGTAGGTGGAGAAGATTTCAAACCCATCATCCATGGGTTGAAATTTGACTACGTAGACCAATGACCCATGGATTCTCTCAGTGTTAGGTGAAATCTCACTGAGGTTAAATGGAGTTGTAAAAACTGGAGTCATTCTGATAATTAGGAAATACTTTTCAGGAATTTCTTGAAGTAAAAGTTATGATCACAGCATCTTGTTTTTGATTTTCTTCATCAACTGAGGTGGTTTCTTGACGTATCTAAAGTTGTAGGTGGGATCGTTAGATACTTGGGTACAAAACCTAAGAAATGTGTAGGTTACATACGGATTTCTATTATGTGTCGGTTTTTGAATTTTTACCTATTTAGTTACTCTAACAATAAAAAATGCGGAGTTTATATAGCTAATTAGTCTCAGGCTTCATCATTTTCCGATTTTCCTTACTGACAATGAAAACAAACGTAAAAAGCCAGTAAAATTTCATTACTGGTAGTAAGTGTGTCAAATAACTTTTCATTCTGCCAGATCTTGGAAAACTGTTTTACTTTCCGGGACTTGACAGTGTCACTATTCGACACCATTCATTAAAGGACCATATCTGTTTAGTTAAAAGGGGTTCGCAATAAATGCATTACCCATCTAAAGGCTATGTGCTCAAACACCGGTCATTTTTGAGCCTATGGTAAGCTGTCAACTAACTTAACTATTTTGATGGGGGGAGCAGTCAAAGGCATCCACTCCTTTCATTTTTATTTAACTTTTCCTCAGACATGATCATGGAAGTCTCCATTTCCTCGTGTAAATTAAGGGTTTGAACTCGTTGCTCATGACTGTTTAGTAGATCTAAAGTGTGCAGGTGACGTAGATGCTTAAAAGATACAGTTTACTGATCACTAAGTGATAATTTGAGAATTTTAGGGGTTTCTCTTTCAAGAGTGATATACAATGAAGGCAAGTCAGTTGATGAAGTTGTGAAACTTCACCTACTGAGCTGGCTTGGGAAGGTGTTGCGTACTCTGAGTAACCTCCTACCTTGACGTGCGATGTTAACTAAAGTGGGAGTGGGTTGGAAGAAGACTTTAGGATGGTCAGCCAAGATGTGACATCAGTTCGTGAAGTCTTTGGCTGTTGATGTGAGTCATATGGGGAGATATAGATTACCTAGCTGGGGCTCACGGGATAATAGAAACCAATGGTTGGCGACTCTTGGTTGCATGACTGAAAATCGGTCACGTTGGAGCGGATGTGTGGTTTTTGACATAGAAATTTCGAACATTTTCACTAACCATCATTGATTTATTGTTTCAATCCATAGAATTTTCTTTGTTTAATATCAGCCTTTTTCCATTCATTTGGTCTTTGCATGCTGCTGTTAAAGTGTGGTAACTTAAACCGATGTACTTCTGTGCTAGGTTCTACGTTGGTTTGTCTGTCTCTGTTTCTCTCCCCTTAAATGTAATTTGTTGTTCCAAGACTTATCTTTGTTAATACCTTACCTTACCTGACAATGGGAAGTGAAGTGATTGAAAGTGTTGGCCAATTTTACTTACTTAGAAAGTCGGTTCAGCTCTGATGGGTCAGTGGCAGATAAAATCTAGGCACGGATACAGGTGGTGTGTTAACTTTCACTAGTTTTCTACGCAACCTGGACTCATTTTGCCATTAGCTACCCCTTCAGAGTATTTGTTTGGGTCCTGGTCATTTTTTGGTACTCGAAAAAGCATATGTTTTTGTGGTTATTAGAATCTTCGTCTCATGTGTGACAAGCTAATTAGTTGCAAATAGCGTTTTAGGGCACATCCAATCGAGCTATATTTCAAATAAGCATCGGTTACATGATATCAAGGTCACTGCTGTTGGTTACCTGAAGGCAGTCGTCGAGATTCAGTAGACCTAGGTCTTTTGTTTGTTGGCACTTGTTGGCAAGGTATATCTGCAACCCCGGAGGAACTGGTTTCATGTGGGTGATTTGAACGCGCGTCACACGCAAAACAATTTGAGATTTGAAAAAGCTTCAAGTCTTTCTGATTACCTTCTCTGTTTGATCCCCACTGTTTGAATAAGATTGCTTGTTTATGGTTTCAATTTCATTTCGGTAGTTCTTAGGTCTATTGTATGACGATCATTATTCACTAATCGGACATTTCTTGTGCATGATATGAGAATGACTTCTGCAGTGTTCACCACTTTATTACTCTCGATTCGCTAGTAAAAGTGGTGTAGTGATCTGTCCATGATAACATTGTGGGTTTACAAAATCCTACCAGCCCAGGATATGACTTTGCTCTAGAATGTGTTTCAAGCCAATATGCAGTTGAGCGTCTGTAAACGTCATCAGATATCATTTAAAAGTGAAACGAGTGATGATATTTTGTAATTTCCTTGTATCTTTCTTCATTAATGAAAAGTAATACAAAGTTAAGGGAAGATTTTTGAAATTTTTAGTGCCTTTCATACTTTGGTTATTCTGTCCTTTTTTTCTACGTAAGGAGTACTATTCTTTGTCTTGCCTACTACCTGGCCCTCTGGCTTTTAATTCGAATATCACTTGGGTCATTAATATAAACAGTCTTCTAACTTTTTAGGAATACTCCCATCTTCAATCATTAACCGTGCTTCTATCGAATCATAAATTCAGGGACTATGATGTCACTATAATGTCACTACTAATATGGTATGATTTTCTATAAACTGTAACCATGTGTATATATATATATATTTGATTTCTAGAGACAAGCTCTCGGTCTTAATCAAACCAGAGTTACACTGCATACATTTATGGAGTGGAAAAAGAGAAAGGTAATTCATTAAAAAAAGAAACAACTTTTTCTGCAGAGAATTGAAAAAATGGCTAAAGGGCTTGCCGATAAAGCAGCGCGAGAAGCTAACTATAAACAAGGACGTTCTGCTGGTGTAAGTTATCGTTTTCGTTTTTCTTGTTCAGGTTATATGAAAAGTAAGCAGCTGTATGAGGTGAACAACAACTAACTAGCTTCTGTTCATCTCGCTTTTTAAAAGAGGAGGTGAAAATGTATCTTACTTGCGAACTACCTAGTTCGAATGACAATGTTGTAATGACCATAAAAAGATCAAATGGAATACCAAATAGTACGTTGCTAGGTGACGGTATTCTGTGAAGCAACTGGTGTACACTGTGTTACAGAGGTAAATTCAGCTGTTTAAATTCTTGTCGTGTGTACCGAGCTGTTGAGGGATGCTGTCTGAGGACTTATATAGTCGTGAATGCAACCTGTTATCCAGTGCTGAAACTAACTAACCAGCAAAAGATCTATGGTTACTTTTTCGCCTGGTAATTTGCAAAGGAACCTCCAACTGCGTATATTTTTATTTAAGTAATGTTTTCATTTCATTGAGCAATGAGTTTTTTGCAGTCAATTTTTATATCTTCATCCTTGACTTTCGAAATTGTCTGTCAATAGCCCCGAGGTTTGGTCGGCAGTCATCACTTGACCACTTTTGCCAGTTCACTTAGTCAGTACTCTTACCCCTAACATTCATTTTACAACCGTGGTAGGGACCTGTCAGTGATGAGTGTCAGGGTTAGTCAACAGATATGCATAATGACGGTAGTAACGTCGCACTGGAAAAAGAAAGTAACACAATTTTTCAAAATTCTACGATGAATTGTGTTGGTAAGCATGTAAACGTGACCTTACTCAAAGAGTTATTGATATGTAACTAGATTAACAGTCAGAGAAGTTTCAGTATGAGGAATGCCACCTCAGGGTTAACAAAACATCTGATTGGTGGGAGTCAAAGATATGCTTCATGGATGGCAGTAGTGACTGCGTTTTATCCATATTTTCTTTAAAATTTGATAACTTACACACACTTATCTGTTTCTGCTTTTTAAAGATGTTACATTTCAGCAGTTATACACTTGTGATAGATTTGTAGTTGTTCGTTGGGAACAAAGATTCACATGGTGTACATAGTACATAGGAATTTCAAACACTGAATTTTATTTGGTTTTATGAACAGTTACCGTTTAAAACAAACCACGTAACAATCAGCTCTTTATAAGGATGGAGGTGATGCTGTATCAGGGAATTAGCTGGAGAAAGTATAGCAGACTAAAAGTGTTTCATCTCTCTGGAATAAAGCCATTGTTGTACCCATATTGAGAGACTGCGTAACGTGTGTGACCATCATTGGAGTGTCACTCTGCTGTCAGTAGTATCTACAATATTAGCTATTATCCTTCTTGACAGGCTCTTTCAACGCTTAAAAAAACTGGTCTGCGACGAACAGATCGGCTTTCATTCATGTTGTAGATATATTGGTCATTGACCTACAATCATTGCGCTTCCTGATATTAGAGTTGCCTTTTATTCGTTGGGTAAGATTAAGCTCTAGGCTGACCCTGAGACGTTTGTTAGTATATTGAAGGCTCTATAGAACAATAAGGGCGTGCAGCCGACTCTGTCCATTCCCATGAACCAACGATGGAGTTAGTCAAGCATTCCCGATTCTGCCATTTTTCTTAATTTTATTGTCGATAACATTCTCGAGACAAATTAAAAGGTACTCAAGTCACACTTAATCAGCTGGGAATCACTATCCTGGAGTATGAGATTTGCTCTCACTGAGGAAGTGTAAACTAATCTTACATTATTGTCAGGAACCTATTCCTGCACTCATCCTTGATAGTGAATCCTCCATATTCGTCAAAAAATGTGTGTATCTGAGTCGTCGTGTGAATTCTCGAGTAGGTGTGACTGATCGAATTTGTAATGGTACATTGAAAATCAGGGTGGTATACGTAAATCTGGATCACCCTCTGCATCACTGTAATGTGAGCCTGGATACAAGAGGTTGTGTGTATGCACAGGTTGATTGTGCAATGGGTTAGTGTGGGTAATCCTATTTTATTTCTATAGAAACTGGTCTTTTGGGACTGAGGATATCCAGTGACTGTGTGTTTTATTACTATTGCTATCATCCGGTGGAAATAAAATGTGATTTTAATGTGCAGAAGCACTTGTTTAAGTGGATGTGCTTGAGGTTGTCATTCACTGGGTGGTTATGTTGATGGATGTCACCTCAGCGACTATGCTTCTCCTATTCAGTGTTTGTTAGCCGTATGGGTGAATGTAAGAAACGGAAATGTCGTCAGGGTTAGGGTGATAAGGTGATAATCGATTTTGTTTAATAATTCTTTGGTATTGGTCAATAGGACTGTTTGTATCCGAAATTGAAAGATGCATGACACCAAAATGAAAGGTATATAAATGGAGATAATTTCACGATCGATCTTAGCAGGTCTCATAAAATTGGGAAGATAAGTTATGGCAAATAGAAAAGTTTGGTATATCAATTGAGGTGATGATAGAGTTTAGGACAGCAGCAGATGCCTGTTGTTAAAAAATACTGCTGAAATAAACTAGCAGCTGGAGCAAAGGAGGCAAGGTTTACATACATAATTGCACAATCAGTTCATCTGCTTCATATTGTGTGAAACGCATATTCATTTCACCTTAGTCGATGTTTTCAGGCGAAAAATGAGGATGGAAAAATTACGTTGTCGCTAGTCACTTTCGGTGGAGGGTTCACTGTATTGTTCCTGAGGCTCTAGGTAATTTGCTGTAATGTCCTAGTTCAGCGGTTGACTGGAAAAAGGACATCAGGATATTTGACAAGGTCTGAGTTTATAAAGCAGGCGTGCACTACGTTTCAATATAGGATTCCTATGGTGGCTGTTCAAGTTTCTAATTGTAAACACTATTGAATAATTGTCCATGTTTTGCATGAAGATAAACTAAGGAATCCTAAGTTTATGGATATCTGTTTTTATTCGAATAAAGGTTAATTAATCGGTGTAGCTTTTATTATCGTTTCTAAAAACCAAATGAAAACTACCAGCATTTGGAGTTTTTTAACTGATGTTTCGGAAATTCATAATCTTGTCAGGAAATCCAATCTTCGTTGCACAAAACCCTTCTTCTCATAGGTGCATCCTCAAGATTACTATTGAGAGTCCTGTAAAGATACTGTATTTTGCTGTTATTGTTCATCACCAATTAGGTAACTAATAGATTCTGCACCGTCTGTTTTTATGGTTCGCTGCTGGGTAGGTCAGTGATTTCGAGACCAGTGGGCTATGGACTCGAGTCCCCCTCGACCTACGGAGGTTTTAGCAACCAGTTTGGATCATTATTCCTCGCACAAAAGTTGTGGCTCATTGCTTACCTTATGAATGTTCACGTGATTGCTGAGTATATTTTGGTTCCTATTTGTAGATCAGAGTGATCTGGAATAGGATGTCCTCTCGTTGGATTTCAGTGTTACTACAAGTTGTTTACTTCTCAATAATATTGCGGCAATCTCTATTTAGCTACCTTGGCAGATTTGAACAATGCAAAAACAAAGACATTTTCAGAATAAAATGAACTCATTTCATTTCACCACCTTTCATCAACTGCAAACAGCCTACAGCTGAAATGAAATATCAGTAGTAATAATATTATAATATACTTTAAGTATGGAGATTCAAAACATCAGTGTAAATGTAGGGGTTGTTAAAGAGCTAGTAGGTTACGCAGTTACTTGAAAAAACTAGAAAAACGTTGGGCTAAGTGATTAACAGTCGGTAAGTAATTGGTGAAGAGATCATACAATCAAAAAAGGAGGACTATATACATGCACATGCAAATAGTTATATACTATTGCGAAGGTAAAGAAAGGTTAATGACAGTCTCTTTTTGAGTACATAAGTCAGGTTGAAAATGTTTGATGGCGAGAGCTTCTGCAAACCGTAATAAATATGGTGTTTATTGTTTGTTGGTTTTCCTGAAGGACTGAGAAATATCTGTTTGATATCTTGTTTTCATCAAGTGCTCGGCGACTGGGCTCTTAAAGATTTTGCTATGTCATTATTACTACTAATACTTCATCTCAATTGTAGGCTGTTTGCAGCTGACGAAAGGCTGTGAAATGAAATGAGCTCATTTTGTTCTGCAAATGTTTTTGTTCTTGGATTGTTCAGATCTCCATCTAGACTTTGTCGGCTGTTCGCTTTAAAATCAATCAAAAATTCTTTTAAAATTTGTGTATTAGTCTAAAATGTATGTATTAAACTGTAAGAGTGCTGGTTTTTCATTTCCCAGAAAAATTTCACGTCTATTGTCCAGAGATAATTATGATGTACAGTGTGACTTGAATGTTTTCTAATTTAACTTTTAGATTAGTGGACGGGAGATATTCGAGTTTGATCCCACATTGGTCATGGAGGCAGTGGATGATGACGAGACGTCTGGGGTTGTTGACTCTAGAATTCGTGATGATGAAGACAATGAAGTAAGTGCAAAAACTAATTTCATTTTTTTGTATTTTGAATAAAGTAATCGTCTTTGTAATCATTTTCAAAGTTTGTCAGTTATCATAATAACAATGATGCACAGAAAGCGCACAGTACGTAAATTGTGCACAACAGGACTCCGAAAAGCAGAATAAAATGAAAGATTTACTATGTGAGGGTTGGGATCACCGATATGTTCCTACTATAAAGATTTAAGTTTGACTGACCGGATAGAAGTGCCTTGAACTGCCGTAACATATGTTTTGAGAGCTTTCCGAGTGCTTGATTACAGTTTCAACGTTCTAATAATACAGTATTCATTTTTCATGTCATATCTATCGTGACTATATGTTGAACTTCCCTAGTCATTTTCGACTTCATATGTTGAAGCGTTGTAGACGAATCTGTGGAACGTACTTCCTAAAACATTTTAAAGTCACTACAGTCCGTTTTATCGAAAAAGCAAGACAGGCTTTGCCTAATCTGAAAACAGTGTGGAGATCTACTGCACTCAGCACAAAGAACAAAATCCGGATTTTCAATACCAATATCAAGTCAGTGCTGCTATATGGTTCAGAAACTTGGCGTGTCACGAAAAGCATTTTCAAAAAACTACAGACATTCATCAACAACTGCCTATGCTGGCTCGATACTGAAGATCAGATGGCCAGAAAGAATAAGCAACAAGGAACTCTGGCCGGGCAACGAGCCAACCAAGAACCTATTATCCAACAAATATACAGAAGACGAAAGTGGAGGTGTATTGGGCATACACTGAGAAGGCCAACTGGGGACATCACACGCCAGGCCAGGCCGCCGAGTTGAATCCAAAGGGGAAACGACGAGTCGGGCGTCCAAGGGTGACATGAAGGAGATCATGTGAGGAAGAAATGAAATCTCGTGGGCAGTGTTGGAGTGAGGTTGAAAAGACTTCAGAGAAGAGAGTGGAATGGAGGCGTGCTACTGAAGCCCTATGTTTCACTAGAAACCCAAGGGAAAAATAATAATAATAATAATAACACAGTTCGTTTTATCGAATTTTTGTCATAGACATCCAGGATGAATATATCTGTAAAGTGTAACTAAATAAGATCTCTAAACACTGGGAATCATACAATGACGGTCAGTACTATCAATCACAAGTAGCTTAATTGCTGAGAAATATTCCCAGCTTTTCAGATCAGCTCTACCTTAGAATTCTCTGACTAGCATAAAAGCATAGTTCATGTCAGAGCATTTAACTGTTAAGTGTTACGTTTTTAATAGAAGAACCTAAGAGACATCAACTTTTCAAGGATGTTTCGATGAAACCAGAGTGCTGTTTCTTAACTGAAATGTAGTAAAGCTCTGACTACATTTCAACTTTTCCAGCAGTCATTGAAGTCATTTTATTGCTCTGATTCTCAGAGAAATATAACAAAAGTATTTTATCTCATCGAAATGATTGTCTTGGTATGTGAGGGAAAACTAAATCCCACAGTAAAATTTGCATCAGTGTTAGCAAAATTTTTCCGCATATGTTTCTCTTATAAAGGAAGTATTATGAGGAAAATGGTCAAATTGTCTGCTGATATACGATATTAACTCTTGCTTGACTTTGGAAACACTGGCGTAACTGTGGAGTTTGATTTCTGTGTCTAAAAAGCATTTCACACCTAATGACTAGTTCTTTAATAGCGTTTATGTTACTTATATAGCAACTATCGCATATGGGAGTACAGTACAATGCCCAGAAGACGATCCCAACAACAGTGAGTAATACCTCAAAGGTATCAGTAGTGAAATACATTGAAGTGTTGCACATCATCGTCATTCAACAGTCCTTCCTTACGCTCATACAGTAAGGTTACGCTACTTTTGCTGTTGCTGGATAAGTTGATGTATTATTGGAACTTCAATCAATCAGGCATATTACTTCATTACGCTACATCCTAATTAGTGTGATTAAGGGAATGTTAGATTAACCTTTTGCTTGGATGCAAATACCTGTGTACGTAACTAACTAGTGATTCGCATATTTTCTAGGATTAGTATACCTAACGATTATTCACTTTTATTCTTGATCTATTAATGTAGTCAGAATTTGGTCAATCACTTGACAGTTGACGTTTACTTCAAAACTTAGCGTGATCCTTCAATGTATAAGACCGCGTGTGATTGTTTCAAGTATATAACTACGTTCTATATTTGGTCTACAAGGTTTGGAATGTCATTTTTTTGGTAATATCTCAGGCACATGGAATTACAAACTTGTTTATCGTTGTAGGCATTATGTTATCCTCGTCGAAGACAGTTTATGTTGGCAGCATTATTTATTCGAAATTTTCTGTGCTTCATTTCAGTATTCCGGTCCAGTGAGAGATATTGACTTGAATATGTTTGCAATTGAAGAGTTGGAAAGTGAAAACAGTGAGTTTGTTGCATGTATGTATGTATATAATTCGTATATTTTTATCTGGACCTCGTCGATTGACGAGGTTGTGAACCTTAGTCGACTGAGGGGGCTTGCACATATACTGCGCATACTGAACCACCGCCTTCCTCGATGTGCCATGCTAAGGGAAGTTGGATTAAGATGACAAAGGGTTCAGGGTGTTCAGATCAATATGTGATACCAATTGATGAACTCCCTGTCTGTTGGCTTGAGCCATGTGGAGAGGTGTAGACTGCTTGATTGGGATCCTGGAGACGAAAGGAGTCAGTGGTTGAGGACTGACTGTTGTTGGAATGGTGAAGATCGGTCACACTGGCACAGATATATTCACTCCTTGATATCTTCTAAAGCTTGAATATTTGCACTAACCTTTGTCTTTAAATTGTTTATTATCTCATGCTACTTTATCTACTTTGATATCACTCGTTTTCTATCTACCTGTTCTTTATGTAATTCTGTGAAGTGTGGCAACTTGAGCCTATACACTTTTGTTTGAAGTTCTACGTTGATTTTGTCAGTCGGTCAGTTTTCATCTTCGAGAATGAAATCGCCAGAAAGAGATTCTTCTCTGAAGTACTTGTTCTCCTTTCTTTTCACTGAACACAAGAAATGTACCTACAGTTTGGAGATCTATTTTTCGCCCTATAGTTTGCAATTTTAATATCGTTGAAATTGTACCATAAGTTTACTAGAGGTTTAATTTCTAATAACTAAGTTGCTGAGCCGGATGTTCAAAAGCTCAATGCAGCATTTATTCCACAAACTAACCTGAGATGTAGTGCAAGATTAAGTAACCAAGTTAGTTAGGATGTAATTAAGTTTACTGGACACACAGGAACACTGAGGTTATTGATAATCAGAGTTCGTTCTTCTTAGCACGTACACTTCATTGCATGCTTTATTGAGGGTCAGTCACCGATCCCTCATTCACATGATAAGCAGATAAAACTCTCGATGATCGAAGTCAGATCAAGAGTCATGTTATTCATTCAGTAGAGCACTGCACTAGCAATCAATAGGCTACTGGTTTGAATGGCGCCGGGACTCAAATATTTGTCTCAAGTTAATTTGTTATCCTCTTTTAGTCATAGTTTATGGACTGAATTGCCTTGACGTTAAATTCCTTAGAAACGCAATACTATAATTATGGTATATCATCTTCCTATTACTACTAGTTTTGTACGATGCAAGGTTAGTAGAACGTAGACACTAAAAGATACACTACAAAAGAGTACCAAAACATTCAGGAGATTTGGAAGCGATACTGAAGAGAAAAAAGACCAGAGGCTAAATCGTAAATGGATTATAAAGAACACTAAAAAAAGCATTTATTATTTTCTTTTCACTTTTCGATAGTAGGCATTAAAAAGCTCTAACACAGCTGCCACTTGTTCCGGTTTTAAGTCAAATCTTGTAGCATTTGAGTCTCATGATGCCTGAAGTCACCTAGAGAATCGTGTTGTGTCAAGGGATACTAATCCAACCTAATTATCTTTCATTTCACAGCATCACGTCATGTATTTCCTTACTCAGCATTTATTCCATCCGGTCACAAAGATAGCGAACAGTGAACGGCATGACAGCTCTCCTTATTATTTCAAAGTATGAGTCCAGAACGTCATGTTGATTATGATTTCTTAGATTTAGATCTGGTGAGTTATCTAACCTTTAGCGGTTGTAGCATGTTGAGAATACTGATTTGTGGAATATCGGGCTCCCCTAATAGATATCTTTCTTTATACCCGCAGAATGAGATTGTTAGGTTGCAAGTTATACACAGGGAAAGTATGTCAATGTTGTTTTATCTTCAACATAAATGGTAAGTCGTCGCCATCTATGTCTACACGCCATTTGTGTAAATGAAAAAACGTGTAGAAAAAACCCACAATATCCAAAAGGTATTATTTATCCTAACGTTTAAATATTTCTATTAACCATACTTTCTTAACAGACTTTAGGATCAAAATTGGACAGGTTTTATTCTCTTAAGAAGCGGCTTTCATGAGATCACGAAACTTCAGAAATTAATTTTTCTACCTCAATGGAATTCTACGAATATACTCCTCTATGCTTTTTTTCAATTGTTGGATCTTTACTTTTAGACTAATCTGCCGACACTTCTGTCTTCATATCATACATTGAGTTGTTTTTGTATCAGTTGATCAGCATTTCTATTGTGGTGCCTGGAGTAGGCAATTACTGACGTAACGGGATTAAGAATAATTTTAAGTATGCAATATATATACTCCAGTAGAATTATTATTATTGTCATCATTATCAAAGCTGATTATGGGTGCGTCAAAATGCTGAACGAAACAGCTATCCAGTACTCCAAGGTTTCAATTAATTTGCAACTGACGTCAATGTTTGGCAAAAAAGTTGCTTACTAACGTACCAGCTAGATTTGGAGTGACAGCGATGCTTGTTAATAGTCTGTCTCAAAAGACTCCAGAATAGTTTTTTATGGAACTGAGGCAACGTATTTACTCTGCAGCTATGACACTTCTGACTAGTTATTTTACAGAAGCTTTATAATCATTGTTTTGGGTTTTAATAGAACTCAGTGATGGGATTCTTTGCTGTCATCGGTTGGAAACTTGGATTCATATGAAGCGTTACTTTTTAGTTATATCCATATAGGTTCTCGTTTGATAAAGTCGTTTACTTATTGTATTTATCACTGGGTTCAAGTAATTTAATTTCTTTCAAAACTTGTGCTGCTTTTGAAAACTGATTCCTTTTGTAATTCTTTAATGAACCGTTTGGTTATGCACTTCTGATGTGTGAATTCCTTCCCGTTTTCAGATGAAGTTAAAGATGAACCAGATGAGATGCCAGGAGTTAGCGAAATCAATGAAAATGGCTATCTTGATAGTGGTACGTAATATATATTCTTTGTTTTTTCCGTCTACTTGTTTTTCTATTTATTGTTAGGTTTGCTTCCTATGCAAATGTGTACATGCGACTTGATATTACTGCATAGCAGTTCAATTTTTTATGCCTCATATCACACCAAGATGAAAGGGATTCAGATAAGATACAGAGAAATAGAAACAAAAATGTAAAAACTAACAAAGATGAGGTTAAGCTGATAAAAAACTGTGATATGAAAGACAGACAAATATAGAATCAATGCCAAACATCACACACTATTCTGTCCAAGTTGCCATACTTGACAGTAGTATACAAAATATAGATAGATAGAGTAAGAGTGATATCAAAGTGGACACAGTTGTGTGAGAGAATAGATAAGCTGAAGATCAAGATTGATACGAATATTCAAGCTTTAGAAGATGTCAAAGAGTAGATACATCTTTGCCGTTGTGGCCGATTTCCAGGCATTTCACGAAAAGTCAGTCCTCCAGCACTGACTCTTTTCGTCTGGGAGACCCCAACCAGTCAGTTTATATCCCCGTACACAGCTGAGACCAACAGTCAGAGACTTTATAAACTGTTACTACACTTCGATCTAGCCACTGTGAACTGTTTTCCAACCTAATTCAACTTCCCCAAGTCTTGGTGCGTCGTGTTTTACAGCTATGCAGGAGTATAAAACGGACTGCAGAGCAGTATATTGGTACTTTGATGGTCGAATATCTCTGAACTTGGCGCTTCGGGTAATGCAAGTTGGCCAATTCCCTAGGGATCCTTCTGTATCGGAGCTGAGGTTTCTCCAGCAACTAACTTCCCCTAGATATGGCATATCGAGGTAGGCGATGACAGATATGATGATCAGGATGAAAATGAAATTGTAAGTCTTTATCCACTGAGGTGGCAGAAACATTCGCTATGAATGCCAAGTAACAGTTTGCCGCAACGGGCAATTCTAACTGAAATAGAGTTAGACTGTACAGAACTAATCTAAGCTAGTACCAACATATAGCACGAATCCATGAAGTAATCCGTTTGTTCCTAACGGTATTTATTATAGTGTATGCTTTTTTGGGTTTTGTGAGGTAATCGAAATCGGTAAATGGATATCTGCGCAATACAAGATCCATTATCGCATTGTGTCAGATACATTTATGCCTTATCTTCAGCTAAATGGCTACTACGTTTTACCCCTCCTTCTGTTCTATAGCCTTCCATATACTTTGATCATACAATTTCCATTTCTTTCCTCTTGGCTGTTTGTTTACACCGCTGTGTACTGTCTTTAAAGTAGCCTAAATCAGTATACGGTTATGTCAGGCTATATGTTTATTAGATTTCCTTGTCATTCAGTAATCCCATTATTGTGTTCTGAGACTGATTGATTACTTAAGGCATCAGACTTCTAATCATTGTTTCATGAGGTTGAATTCCTCCTGTTGTCAGAGACAACAAAATAACTAGATGCAGTACATAACCTCGATTGCACAAACTTATACACACTTGATAAGTAGCTGTTATTATAGTTATTTTGATACTTTTTATCACTGTGGAGCCATGACCTCACGTGATACATATCCCAAAACTGTCAGATCTCTTTGGTAGCACGTTGTCATTCAATCACTGCATTAGACTCCCGTGATCCAATTTCCGGATTTTATCAGTCCACGATTTAGCATTACTGTTATCTAATGTCATCAGTGCCTATCGGCCCTCACACCCAACTTAATTGGCACCACGGACCCAAGGCTCATCAAACTTTTTGTGAATCCATCTGAAAGCAAGTCACTAGTGAGCCCTGAGTTGCAACTCGGTTTAGGGTTTTTTGGGCGATAAATTTTTTCGTATAATTAGAAGAAGTTACTACCTATTCTAAATCTTTGGGATTTTACGTGCACAACCTTTATATGAACCTGAGAAATGTGTATCTAATGTTGATAAACGGAAATTATCTCTCATAGATTGTAATTTTGCAGTTAATATTGTACTACTTAATAATGTATCAGTAGTATGATGTTAAAGCAAAGAGAAAAAGTCGCCATGGTCCCTGCGGTTTTTTTTGTACATGCAGTCCAGTCGCTCACTTGTTGTAATGAGTGATTCGAAAGACCGCTCTTGCAAATATTCAAATGATCCATTATTATTCTAGTCGAGATAAGGAAACCAAGTTGGTTGTTCTAGTGGTTACTTTGACTGGCCTTCAAAATCGATCGTTTAAATACCGACATCCAGTAACGCAAATATCTTTTTTAGAATTGTGTGGAAGATACAAGTGTGATTACCTGGTTAACTGCACCTAGTCAATATAGATTCAGTCACCCATTGTTATGGAGCTAGTTTGAGAGCTGAAAGCCATTTTACTAAGCTTGACGTCATCTCTAAACAGTCATATGAAGACTGCTATTATCGCGAAACTTGATTGTGATCTGATCCGCCACAGGTTGAAGTGTATGAGTGTCAACTCTCTAACGATAGCGGTGAACAAGTAGTTTTTAGACGTCTCTTCGCTCATTGTGAGTATGATTGCATCAAAAGTGTATTCAAGGAATGACTGACAATCTAGTTATCTGTGAAGTGTTAGGTAAACCGCACCTGGAAATGTTTTAAAGACTATTGAAATTCACAATTTCGTTTGAACAACTCTTTTAAAAAACGAACATAAAGGAATTTTTGGAAAAGAAATGCTATATAAGTACAACTTGAAATGTGAATCATATGTTAAGATCATAGGAATTCATTTACGCTTTACTCTCGTCTGTAAGTATTAGGAGTTCTATATCGATACCCTTTTAACTGGAAACTGTTTTTATCAGTCTGATAATAAATCCAATGTCTCTTTTTTGATTTTCTCTATACTTTCTTTGAAGTGTGGTATTATATATTCCCATGTCATATTCAGTTCTTTTCCGTTGCTTGCTCATGTTACTAGTAGAATATAAGTGGAATGACAGACAGATAGAATCAATGTAGAACTTCGCACATAAGTGTATCGGTTCAAGTTGCCACACTTGACAGTAGTATACAAAATATAGATAGATAGAGTAAGAGTGATATCAAAGTGGACACAGTTGTGTGAGAGAATAGATAAGCTGAAGATCAAGATTGATACGAATATTCAAGCTTTAGAAGATGTCAAAGAGTAGATACATCTTTGCCGTTGTGGCCGATTTCCAGGCATTTCACGAAAAGTCAGTCCTCCAGCACTGACTCTTTTCGTCTGGGAGACCCCAACCAGTCAGTTTATATCCCCGTACACAGCTGAGACCAACAGTCAGAGACTTTATAAACTGTTACTACACTTCGATCTAGCCACTGTGAACTGTTTTCCAACCTAATTCAACTTCCCCAAGTCTTGGTGCGTCGTGTTTTACAGCTATGCAGGAGTATAAAACGGACTGCAGAGCAGTATATTGGTACTTTGATGGTCGAATATCTCTGAACTTGGCGCTTCGGGTAATGCAAGTTGGCCAATTCCCTAGGGATCCTTCTGTATCGGAGCTGAGGTTTCTCCAGCAACTAGCTTTTTTGCTCTGATGCAACTCCCTATTTAAATGAGGTGGATTGTAAACAGTGTGAGCCCATCTTTCGGAGCATTGTATCAATGTTAACTGTAGGTGTTACAGCTTCTATTAATTTGATGATGAGTTTTAATGCAGAATTGATTTCACTTGTCACACGAAATGAGACTAATGACAGGTTTGCGAGCAATGCGTTATATTTAGCGCACCGAATCCTATCGGATACTTTTCCTGGAATAATTTGGACTGTCGCAAATCATTTTGTACGGTGGCTGTTAAAACAGTTCCGAAATTTTTTGAATGAGGCTTTTCGCATTTGAAATCAGGTTGTGTAAAGTGCTTTTATTTTTTGAGGGTTTATTGCTTTCATACGTCGGTCATGTGTAGAGGAGTCACTGGACACACAAATTTGATGTTAAGGTAAGCATAAAGTAACAGAATAAGCAAGTAGATCAGCTGATAAGTTTACTAACCTTCGTCGGGATGTGGGATTGACATAATTAGTCAGTACCTGAATACTTGTTCTCAAAAGAAGTAGTGAAATGGAAAAGCTTCAGGACAGTCAAATCAAGACATTGTACGAAACTCATTATTCATGTGAACTGTGCAGTAAACTGTAGCCTTCATGACAAGCTTCTACGTGGTAATATGGAACAAACATATACGTCTGCATTTCTCACCTTTAAGTTAGTCCTAAATATTTGTTTACTTTCTTTTTAAATTATTTTATTTGTTTTATTTGTCATTAACCATTTCTTAGTATGAATATGTTAGTTTTGTTGGCTTCTACGCTATTTGTCTACAGCGCACAGGAAATTTATGATGTTTTGGATTAATTTACTTTAATTTCCCGTCACTTTTAAAATTGAAGACATGAATTCCTCACAACTTGACAGCCCAAAAACTATATGTTATGACATCGTGAAGCTGAATATTTGTTGTAGAACAAGCCTATTGCATCTTTACATCTCACAGTATTTTATGATAATATCCTACTTTATACTGTTTACCCTGACCAACGTCATATCAAATGTCCAAGCTTTGTTTGTTTCAATAATCCTATTAGTTACTGTATTTCTACTATCCAAGTATCATTCGGCAAGATAATTGAAAATGTGGTGTACCGAGTCACTGTGTATTGACAACAGATTTAATTATAATCGGATCATGTATTGGTGGTCATAGTCTCTTGTCGTGACCTCAAGGCGGCATTTGACTCTGTTGACCGAGAGCTACTGTGGCAGCGTCTGACTATGAACGGAGTACCGAGCAAGTATGTAACCGTAATCAACTGACGTAGCGGTGTAGTAAGGACTTATGGGGAGTTGTCATCCATATTGACGACAGTTGCTGACGTCAGTCAGCGATGCCCACTATCACCGTTCCTATTCAGTTGTTTCATAAATGTACTAATGGACATAAGCTTAGGTGCCCCTTACTTCGTAGGGATTGGTCTACTCTGGAGGGCATCTGGTTGACTTTGAGTACGCAGACGATATTATCTCATTTTATGTTTTTACGGTGACTTGATATAACCTAAATGATGTATATGTGGACGCTTGTACAATAACCTTCAGATACCACCCCTTGTTGGCCACTCAGTTTCTCTGTAAACAGGAAAGGTGGTAATATAACAGAAGGTGTATTTAAAACGTCTACGGCCACGTCAACAATATATAAAAACTGTAAGGTGTTTATATATATATATATATATATATATATATATATATATATATATAACAATGGCCTTGGCTATTTCCAGGACTTCCTAGATTTAAATCTCTTCAACCAACCTGATATTTACACCTTAGTTCACGTGCTTTTTCCCGAAACTTCATAGCGAAGCCATTGGTGGAGAAAGGCTTTAGGCATATACAGCTTCTTATGAAGATTTCATCAATCGTTCTGAACACTATAACATCCCGCTAGGTAAAGACGCTGACATAGTACAGGGTCTTCTGAAGGAGTTGAGCATAAACCTATGTATGTTTGACGTGTATCATGCTCAAGGGATGGTCTTCGACTCCTCGTAATTTAACGAAAGAGAGTGAAGTGGTGGTATGTGTGGACCCCTTTACTTACTTGAGGATTTGCATCAACCCTAGCATACTGGTTGCGGGAGAAGTCTCAGCTCGGATACAGAAGGCCCGTTTGACATTTGACAACATGCGTTGTCTCTGGCACCGACTACCGAGACATCGGACTACATATTAAAGGATGATTATACTGCACTGAAGTTCCTTCTATCTTGTTTTACGGTTGTGAAACAGCTGTTGGAAGTAGCTGTGAAGGGGTTACAGGTTTTTGATCACAGGCATCTTCGTAACATTCTTCATGAATGGTGAAATCACTGTGTGACGAGTGTTGAGGTCAGGCAATAAGCACAACGCGAATGAAGCAACTCAGTCAGTGACGTTGTGAACCTCCCGTGACTGAAGTGGCTTGGATATGTGTTACGCGTGCCAAGCCACCGCCTGCTTTGACTTACAATGCCAACCGAATTCGGATTGGGTTGGAAGAGGACTGAAGAGTGGTCGGACCAAGACGTGGCATCAGTCCATAACGACTTTGACTGCTAGTCCTAGCCATCTAGAGAGGTTGTAAACTGCCAGGGTAATTTCCCTAAGATCATAGGGATCAATGGTTGGAGACCCTTGGTAACGTGGTTCGAAATCGGTCATGACAGTGCAAATTTATTCACTTTTTACTGTCTTCTAAAACTGGAATATTTCCACCAAGCTTGATCTTCAAACTCCTTGTCTGTCTGTCTCATCTCCAAATATGTACACAGAAGAAATACATCAAATGATTGTCTTTAAAATGCATGACGATGTGTTTTTGCTAGCAGTCAAGGTATGAATCAAAAATTTGCGTCGATCCTTATTAAACAGTTATGTTTTCTGCTCATTTCCTAATATTTATTTATATTGTAAATTTCTAGATGTGGTGATTGATGAAGAGTTGTTCGACGAAACAGATCTTGCTGATATTGAAGCTGAAATAAATGAACTAGAATTGGAACCATGATTATATGTTGCTATCTCTATGATCATATTTACCGCGGTGGTGAAGACTAAATGAAAAGTCAATGAAAATATTCTATAAATTAAACTATTCTTTCAGTGTTTGTACAAAATACCGGATATTTTTTCTTCCTTTCACTAACTTTTGAAACCTATTTTATATGCATATGTTGTTTGTGTACTCATCTGACTTTTCCCTGGGTACAAGTTAGGCATGTTTTTGGCTGTACTATGCAACTTCTGCAATCTTCTCTACGCTTCTTTTCTCTAAGGTTGTCTAATATTCCTTGCGTATACTTCCACTCGGAAGTTAATTAGATTGTTTCTTATCAGATCAGATGAAATAAAAAATGAAATACTTCTTTGAGTTGTCTTTTGAAGATATAAACTTATCGGAGTTAAAGTTGTTCTCATCTGTCTTTTAACCATCCGAATTTTTAAGGTAGAACAGTTGCCTTCATGTGATGATTAAAGCGAAATTATCTTATTTAACATGATACACACGTAACCACAAACATCCAGACGACAGTTGTTATTAATGTCCTGGAGAAAAGACGTTTCGATTTCGATTTTATAGTTTTATTTTTATCTGTATTAGGATTTTGCTGATGTCTGTAATAGGTGATAAACCACTCTTGTTACTTGTACTAGGCGTTGATTAGCTGAAAAAAGACCCAGTAGAATATTCCGTTATGACTGAGTGAGATGTACAGGAAAAATGTATGCAGCCAGCTAGACGGCACTATAACAGTTCACCAACTATTCAGCCTAGCACTTTTAGCCTTATCCCATAGAGTTCTAGCCTGTGAGATGCTTGAGTACGACACAACTCTTGATATCATCCGTGACCAATTGATGACATAACTCACTTGTGAATAAGAAAAGCAACAAAAAGCTGTGTCAACAGTCGGAAGTGAGACGGGTGCCAACTGAAGACTTTGGTAGGTAGGTAGTCGCACTATGTGGCGAGGTGACAGTAGTAGAAAACTAGACTGCTGAAGTCGAACCCGGTGGCTGAATGGTTAATACGAGTCCTGAGTTCGATCCCTGGTGAATGGGTAACGTTGAGGAGTCCCATACTAGGATAAAACAGCTGTTCAGTGCTGCCAGGTTTTCAGTGGTTCTCCAACTGATGTCAGTCCGTGATGGATACTACCTTAAAAATGGCTGTTTGTTCATAAGGATTAAATTCAAACTGTCTGTTTAAACTCACAATCTGAAGAGAGTAATCTGATTTTTCCGGTATTATTTATTGCCTAAAAGAAAGTCAGATTATGAAGTAAGGCATTTTATTAATGCGACACCACCGATTGCTAGTTTTCAAAACCCATTAGTTGGAGGAAACGTTCACTAAATGAATCCAATTAGTCGGATATTTGAATCCAGAAATAATTCAGCATATGAACTACCTTAGTAATTAGTGTCGATATCATATCCTTTTAGAAACTGTTCGAACTGTGAATTTATCAATTACTAGGAGACGAAACTAAAACTCAGTGACCTGTCTACAGAAGGTGGTGAAAAACCGGTTAGTTTTTGCTGCAACGAGACTCGAGGCTTATATACTAATCAATATGGCACTGTGGGCAGTTGGAATTCAGCTGACTCGAAACTTACTAATGGAAATTAGGTACCAGTTGAAGAGATAATACTGGGCAGTTGTACCTGACTTGTACGGTCTTCAAGTTTCAGGGCAACATATGTGGACAAACAGGAGAAATAGCGGTAGGACCGTCAACATCTCGAATCGTAGGGGAAGCACTGACGAATAGTTTGAAAGATATAGCTATAAGAAGGTTTGTTCAAACTCTTAAGATCTGGTAGAGATATGCGAATGACGCACTTACTATTCTGAAACTGCAGCTTTTTTATATACACAAATCAAAAGTAGATACCAGCTGATTCACTTGAGAAATGAACAAAGAGAATGAGCTATGGTGAACTGCAAAGTGTAAAGAAGAACACATCGTGGTTTAGGTAATACTTCCTTGTGGAAAACCAACACACTAATTGGTATCTAGACTATAAATCATCATACCCAATATCAGTTAAGGTGTGTTTATTCAAATATTAATGTAATAGAATTAGAAAACTCACTAGTAAACCGAGGGACCTAAATAAAGAACTGTAACACTAGACCAGCAATTGTCCACTAGAGTGGATTAAAAAGTTCCTAAAAACATATAAGAAAGGGAGTAGTAATAATGTTATGAGCAGTGGGGACAACAGAGAAAGTGTTTCAAAGTATATGTTGTTTCACCTTATTTAGAGGAAATATGAGACACTTATGCAGAATTATCAGCAAGGAGGAAGCCTACAAAGCACTCCAAGCAACAAACTTAGAAAGAAGCTTTGTCTGTTCAAGATTTCAAGTGACATAATTTAACAAAATAATTTACTTACCGCATTCTATGTGGTGACTGCGATGTCAAATATGCAAGTCAGACCATCTGATCAGTGTCAGTCAGATTATTGCAGCATGAAAAACTAACCAAATATCGAAAAATAGAACCCACTGAGATAGACGGCTTCAAAAAACATTTATTGCCTTTTGATACACAACCATACAGTAGGGTTGAAAAACAACTGTATTAAAGGTTAATATATATGGAGAGATAGATAAAAAGAGAGAGAGATTACCTAATCTTTTTTCATCGAATCAGCACCCATCATATGTAAGATGGTTGATGCAGCGCCTATTTCGGAGTTGTGAATAACGTTACTACCACTGAAAATATAAAACAAAAATAACGAAAGTTGTGTAATTACTTATATATAATTTTAAGATCAATAATTTATCCTCAGAATGTTATTCGGTGAATAGTACTCTATCACTGTCTGCAGTATGAAATGGAACAACATAATATGGTCATAGAATTATTCTGCAGCTGACAGGATGGTTACTTTCTTTAAGTGATTTCTCTATTCCCAATACCTTTAATTACTTTGCTTCAATTAAGTTTGTGGAACTACTAATTTCAAAATATGCGTTGAATAATAACTGTGTAGACAGAAGAAGACTACGCCCACAAAATATTCGAGTAGCAAAGACATCTTCATTATGTTTCTGCTCTGTGGTGGCTGGCAGTGAGATCCAAGATATGCATTTCATCCCATTTGTGACTCGTCAGCTGATTTGCTTGCATTTCGGTGAGTGAGTTAGTGATTTCGCTCCTAATGAGACGCAAACCGAGTACTAATAGCTTCAAACATCAGGACGTTGTTTACTAGAATACTGGGCGACGACAGCCACCTCTCATGCAACCGGTATCAGTTAGGGTTTGATACTCGTAGCCTCTGTCAGGCAGTATCGAGGTATCCACATAGAAGCCCGTCTGCCAAAAGAGGTCGAGCATTTCAACCCAGTATAGCAACGGCAGATTACAAGTTTTACAAAAGGAATCTTCCCTTTGTTCTCTGATGATTAACTTTTCATGACCTTAGTTGTCAGATTGAAGGTTAAAAACCAGTTAGCCAATAACACTCTTGTTCAGCCTGTTGAACATAGTGTAGTGAATATTAGGAACGTCTAATGGTTGCAACGGTTTTACTGAGCCAGTTTCAAGAGGATGAAGACCTCATAAAAGTGGATGACTAATCAATGAAGATTTCGTCCTCCGTGAAACGAAACTCAATGATCAATCTAAATATGATAAGAAAAGTAGTTTCATAACATTATTTATGCCTTTTAAAAGATCCACTTGCGTCAATGAATCCGACTGTGAAAATGTTCGAATCTCTGTGACGCTTTGTGGTATGATAACTAGTCGAGATTTTGGAGATATCCAGAATAATTTCTCTAAATGTAACTCGAGTGTGCAGGTTTGAATGTGTGGAACTTGGGTATGGCTTATTTAGACCAGTATCTTTCATTTAACCTATTCTGCTTTCACGGAAATAATAAGTTTTGTAATGATAGTATCATTAAAATAATGAGTTCAAACATCTACTTGTTGACTAGATATATTCACGAATAACAACCATGGTAGAAATAATATATCGATAGAAGAAAGCCTATTTTCTGAATGCTTCATGGATTGCCCGAAGTGCAGCAGTACAAGGTCAAATATCGATCAATTGAAGGTTTAATAGTGGTATATTAGTGATATGTTGGTTGATAATGAGTTTAACCAAGTTCAGGAAACTTTCAACAACGCAAATACCTTCGACAGTTCAATCAAGAAGTTCAGGTGCGAATTTATTCTTTCACTTTTAGACGTTCAATGGTCAAAGAGAAATGATGAGTCATTTTAGAGATCTGTTTGCTTTGGTAGAGAAGATTTGTAGCTGTGGATGACAGTAACAGTTGTTTGGTGTTCTCCTGGATTTAAGGTTTGTTCTTGAAGGTTTCATTACCAGGCTAGGTGATTTCATTGTCTTACAATATGAACTGAAATAATATAATGTGGATTGACATTCTACTACATTATCGAAGTCTTACACTTCTTTAAGCAGGCAGTTCTCTTTATGGAATACACTAAATTCTCCCTTGATATTGATATAATGCAAGCGTCGCATTGATCTCTGCGCTTTTACAATCAGATATCATCACTTCAGAAATACAAAACAGTTTCCAGTAAACTTTTTACGGATATATACTATTCAGATATCTGTAGGTATTTTGGCTACTCTTCACCTTATGATAAGTATCTGTGGTCAGATATTTCATATAACCACACTGCATTAGGCTTGCATAAATTTCCTCATGTATAAATTTTACAAAAATGTATATGGTGAACCACATTAGTATTTGAATTATGCTTCATTGTCTGTTATGTTTTAGAATTATCAATGTTTTGATTACTCGTCTATCGCGGTTGCGTATAGAAATGTGTAAACTTAAAACGGCTCATTGTTGCATTGTTTAATATTTTGAATCGTTGATTAGTGAGAGGCTGTCTGTGGGTAGTGCGTTGCATGTACATCATTGCACATAAGCTGCAGAAACTAGAGAGCAGACAGATGATCGAGAAATTATGCAAAACAAAGAGAGTTGTTCCACCAACACAGCTATTACACAGAAGATAATGATAATCATAATAAGGCATTCATATGAATTCACTATGCTAGTAAGAATGAACCATTCGAATAGGTAGACATTTGTCTGAACTCAATATTTTGTTTTGTCGACACGTACCTTATCTGCATTCATTTTGGTATCTTATTGAATAATTCTGAGGTATATAAGCAACAAAATATTTTCGTGATTATCAGAGACGGTCGGAGTCTAGAAAATGAAAAGCGCTAGGATGATTCTGATTTATTCAATCTGTGTATGTTTGTTAAAACTTCATACTCAAATACTCTTCATATTTTATACTACAGGTGGTTGTTTTAATGTGCCATTTGCATATATGTAGCGTTATCGTGAAAAAGCCAAAGTGGGATCCTAAAAAACAATTCAAAGCATGTCGTAATCGAACCAAAGGGAAAATCCTGACACGTGAGCTAAATGTATCTTGTTGAAATTTAACTTGGATAATATTTACGTAATACTGATAAACCGATTCCAGTGCAAACTAATAAACAAGCCAGGGAAAACCTAACCTCTTTTGAAAAGCCTATTAGTATACTAGTCAAAGTAAAGACCTTGTGTTTGAGATACTCATTTCCTTTCAGATACTTAACCATCCTACAGTATTTTCACTGAACTCATTTTGCTTTTTGCACAGTATAAACGACTGTCTAAAGTGAACAGTTGCAATGTACTCATAGGTATTGGCAGTTTCTTCAGTCAGAATGAGGCGATCTTCAACATTCAGGAGGCAACAAAGCTAATTCACAGACCCAGAGCACGTTGACTTCATGTGATAACTTGATTTGACTGCATACACTACAAATTCAGCCAGTTAGTTGACTATAGCTGTGGCGGACTAACGAAGTTCCATCTCTAAGCTAAATCTTTCCAGAAATACCTGCATGAGCGTTAACCTCCGATAACCAAATCCCACAGCCGCTGGTTAGATCATTCTGATCGAGTTGGAGAGTTTTACTTTTTAAAATGGTCGTTTCTGGTAGCTTGTATTAGTAATTAGTGTACATTGCGGTAATTTCCTACTCACATTTTGATTGCATACTGATGCTCAAGTTAATCAAACTTCACGGTCTTAGAATTTCAGTCATCGTAGGAAACCATGGTTACGTAGTGAGATTAAGTTGCAGCAAATTATGCCAGCTTCATCAGAGATGTTTAGTTTTGTGGATATTCTCTTTAGCTGTCTCCTATTTTACTACATCTAAAATAAGTGGTTTTGTCTTACAAATTGATTCACTAGAATGAATTTAGTTAAAAGTTGGCACGGTCAGTATTGGAAACTGTTAAGGTCTTTGTGGTTTAACTGCACCAAGAACCTTAGGTGACATTGCTGTAGGCTGAAACAGCTAAAAACTTGAGACAACTGGTCTTGTTGATAAGCTTACCGTGATGAGAAGACGGAGATCACATATCGCACATTAGCTCTATACATTTTAAACAATGTGATCAACTTGTCCAATGATCCCCCTTCAAAACTAGATCACAAAACAGATGTCGAGAACAACTTTTTGACATTTCATAAGCATGAATATTCTTACGGTAGGTTTCGTCTCACTTTTAGTCCCCATTATGTGATATTTTATGTCAGGTGGCTAGCCTCAGTCGAAGATTACAATTCACTCACTCAGATCACTTAATGTTATTCCTGATTTCTGGATAGTTTCCATTATATATTTTAATAGCACCTACAGAACCAATGATAAAAGAAAGGAATGAATGGCTTCGAATGCCACTGTAGCAAAGACTAAGTTAACCAATTAGGTCGCTGTTTTATAAGGAAGCCGTCTGTATAAGCCAAAGTTAAGAAATCTAGTTGGTCATTTCAATAGTTGCTAGGATGGCGTTGATTGTTATTCAGGAAGACTATTAAGTTAGTTTTTTTCTTGGTCTGGACATTGGTTTGATAAACGGATGGCTAACTGAATAAGGTGGGGACTCTACATTTTCCAATAGGATTTCGATTCAAAACCCTTCACATCCACTCAAGCCAAGGCAACCAGTAGGTGTTATTAATTGTCACCGGTTACTTGTGTCTCGTAGCCTAATGCAGGAAAATATAACCAAGTGATGAGTTGCATACAATTACAAATCCATAAGGAGTACAATTCAAAGCCCTTATGTTTTGTGGCTGAAATGTAGCCATTAAACTGACATAAATCGTCATCGATCTTGGTTTGGACAGAAACTACACCACTGTTCTTGATTTCCTCACTAACTTTCTAGATGCATGCTGATTCAGCATATATCGAGAAGTAGGATGAGATGGCAATTGATGATTTGATATGAAGAGTAAGTAAGATAGCACTGGCTAGATGACCCCTGTTTGTGATATCGACCATAAGATTTACTGGTCACATTTGAAGTAGAAGTCAAGATTTCCAAACATTATTTTGTTGTCTCGATGTCGTCTTTTGTTAAAATCAAACTTAGAAAAATGTATCACTTTTATGATCTGACTGGAATAGACTTCTATGTTCGTAAATTTCTGCGTTTTGTTTTTGTTACAGCAACTTCCTTCTTGAATGTGTCCTCAATGAAATATGCACTGAACATGAGTGATATCAAATTTATGAAAGAATGTAGTTTGAACAAGAGATGCATATTAAGGGTGCTTCTTTGTTATCATGGTAACCAGCTTGAATCAAAGTGGAGTCACAGTTTTAAGAGAGATGAAATAAAAAAAACCGAGGAAATGTGGAAATATTTGAGGAGTGTACGTCACACGCCAATGAACTTCAGTCTCGAGACATACAATGCGATACATTGAGATGAACGACAGTTAAATGACCTTGGCGAAGAAATACATTTTCCTTTTCGCTTCGCTTTTCAATTATATCATTTATATCTTTGTTCAGTCACGCATCTTATTTTTAAAATATACAACTGTACATATTTTGGCTTCAATATAAGCTGAATATAAGTATTTGAAGTTCGTTGACAACCATCGGTTTCAGTATTAGTTTAGCACGTATTTAAGGGATTTCTTCGATTAAGCTGATTGTTTCAGAAGTGTATACAAGCATACACATCCACTGACATATCATCAGATATAAAGCGTCGAGTGTTTCATCAATCTTTTTGTCCCTATTACACATTTATAGTTGAGTAATTTCGTTGTCGGTAAGAATACATCTAGACAGACTTATTCTGGTAACCACACATTTCACCCAATGTAGATTTCGTCAGTTTCATGCGTCGTTTTTAGTGACTATTAGTGCTTTGACTGAGAATAGAGTTTGGCAACTATAGCATCAGATTCAATATCCACTAGGCCACTGAATTATGAAGCGAACACTGAGTTTTTGACTTTTCCAACCATTGATGTTCACGAACTTTATGATAAGCCTTAATCGTTACACCGACTCCTTGTACAGATGTTTGTGACCTTTTCATGGTAAAAGATTATATACACTATACCAAAAAAATTTTCGGGGTCAAAGACTGATCTTCGTACATTCACAGATCGAAAATCGGACAGATCAGAGTATGCAACAAAAGTTTTCTATTGTCTAAGTATTGATGCATTTCTGGATTGAAGCGATGAAATGAGAGGACGAACACAGACATCTGAATATAAAACTAGTTGCATTTTACCATTTCAGTTTGTTTACTAGGTGTGTCAGACAGTGAAACAGTATAATTAATCGGATATCGATTCAAGGTGAACATACTAAAATGGAATTAGAATCTACCACCGTGGCCGAAATTTTACTTCTAGATTGGTTTGGTTACTTTCGGTTAAAGCAGCATAAAAGTCTTTACTAGTCTGCTACAGACCTGTTGTAACTGGTCTACCCGGATCATAACTTCTTGTTCCTACTGCTCGACCCTCTTTTCAAACAAATATACCTGCTGATTGGTCACTGATAGGTAACCAACTTCATGTTGTCTAGTCCTAAGTGCTGACCGAATCATGTCTATCATTTTGTAAGTTAGCCACCAGGCTAGGAGACTCAGCATCGTGACGGTGTTAGTTGGATCGAGGAAATCGGCAGGAAGCCCTGGACCTACGTACGTCTTGGCACTCGTCAGTAAGGTGTGACCAATCAGTGTGCCTAGTCTAGTCCTACAGTAGGTCGGTCGAGGACAGAATAGCTGAGTGACAATGTCTCTGACTGCAACGCTGGCTGACACTTGTCCGAATCCCAGGTGGTGCATCAGTTCTGTAGAGGTTGCAGATAAGCCTTGGTGACGAGGGCCAACAAGCACGAAACCTAGGCTGCATAGGGCTTTCTGCCGATTGCCTCCATCCAGCTAACAAATATGCCCACTATTATTATGTTTACTATAGTCACCTTCGAGTACAAAAATGTTAGTTTAATTGTCAGTGTATATTTTTATTACAATGAGGATTCTGAAAACGCTTCAAGATAACTGTCCAGATGGCTTCATTCATTGCTGCTTTGAAATCTGAATTAGTGGATGACTACCTTTTACATTTCCTCATATTGAGGCAGACAGACAACTGTTTAGCTGTGAGAACTGTCAATGAGGATAGTACAATTTACGAATAATTTGAAAAAATTTCACCCATTTTATGATGTAGCTGCCAATCCAAGTTAGCTAGCCTGATTCAGTTGATGTAAACTTGTCAGCTGTTCCGTAAGCAAAATTCGTCCGATTACTTCGTTGATGCGTTGTATACCAGATAAATAAAGTAATCATCTGGAGTTTAGATTAATATCATCTATCTACTGGTATCTGGAGATCAAGATTAACGGTCCATAAGTACTGGTAATTTTCAGCAGTATGTTTCTGGAATTTACAATGGCGATTAGGTCTCCAGATTCGCCGTATTGGCCGGTTAAGATCAAAAGAATAGTCTGACTTGGGCGTTGCATGCGTACCTCACAAACAAATAAATGTCCATTGACTGAGATACCGAAGTTTTGGCCGATTTGACGAAGAATGTGGACGTTGAAAGCTGCTATATATGCTTTGGAGTGTGGTGTCAGGAAACCCAGTATGGTGTTCTGTGAACTAACATCGTCATCAAGGGCTGCAGAGCTGGAAGAAAAAAAGATGAATCTTGACCAAGAGATATGAAGAAGGTTATGGTGTTGAAGGCTGTAAATGATCTGAGGGAACTTAAGTGCCGACAGAGTTATTAGAGCAATTGAGACTTTCCGGCCACCCTCATCATGGAAAGTTCCTTCTTCTTGAGGATCAATCATGATGGTCTGTGACCACGGGGTTCAAGAAACATCTGCATGAGGTCCATCATACCTGACGTTTTTAAAAGTCTAAGGTTAAGTTTTCATTTATTTGTATCCAGCCAGAAAATCCATACTTCCGGCACCAGAAGGTTAGGTTTGTTGTTTTCGAGGCCAGTCTTTCCTCAGACATCTTCTTCATAGGAAAGACAGCACTCGAATAGCACTGCTAATCACCCATGTGAGCACCCAATTACTTCTGGGACCTAGTCCAGCTAGTAGTACAAATTCACCCTGAAATCCCCATTATAGCGCAGGGATTGGTCTTTTGTGAATTTTTTTCGCTCAGATATCCAATCAAGAAAAGTCTTTTCTAATCCTAACAGCTTCTTCATCCTTCTGTAGTTAGTTTTGAAGTTCAAATGCATTTTAAAGCTTGATTGTAAGTTACTATTCATATTGAACTACAATGATGATGTGTGCCATGACACGGATAACTTCCTTATATACTGATCGCCATTCAGTAATTCTCTAACTGTATGGAGTCTTGAAGCACAAAAAATAAGGAAACGTTTCCTCGGTGCAGAAAGACATCTTCAAAAAAATATTTGACAAATAATCAGTGGTTAAACTGCCATAGGGGTCGAGGCATTCCACATTGAATGAAATGAAGTGCTTTCATTTGCATTTGCAATATTTCAGATTAGTGCGTTGATGGTAATGGAAAAGATGTGGTAAATACGGTTAATGAATGAGAGATGTTACTATAGATAGTCTAGTACTAACGATACTTTTTAAATATTTTCATCATAAAATAAGGTTCACTTTTTAAAAACAACTAGTAATTAGTATCTGTTTTGAATTCCTTTTATTCTTTTAGGTATATACTGAGCTATTTTAAGACTGATTATGTGGTTACTTTACACTATTTACTTGCTCTAATTATCTTTCCTTTTTACTCAAGAGATTAATTTAAACGCAAACGTATCTTTCGATGTGTTTAGGCCTTGATTACTTTCGTTCAGCTTTAGAAAATGCTTTGTTATTATAATCATGGACTCACTAAATAATTCATAAATAGCTTTACAACCTGTGAACCTGTGAACAACTTAGATCAAGATATATCTTTAGTCTAGAGAAGTGGCTGAGGACTTGAAGGTCAACGGAGAGTAACTCTATCGCTACATCATTGCACGAATTTGTATAAATATGCTCGTCGTAGTTAAGTGCCAAAGCTAATTTTTACACTAACATACCATATCTGATAGTTTTCCCTTGCCGGTTTGTAGAGACGTTGGTTCAGTTGTTTCTGGTGGCAGTCGGCGCATATTTAGTGATATCATGCTGTCCAGGCGGTTTACCAATTGATAAAACTTCAAATCATCCTAGAAAGAGGGACACTGGGTGAGACTGATTTTCGTAATTGTGGTTATGTCTTACTTAAAAACAAGGGGGATGCAAGTGATCCGATTTTGAAGTAGTTTCTTTCTAGATACTTCTGTACATATGAACTTAAGTGGAAGGCCTGCACTTTTGATCCTGGTTGTCATAAACATGGTCCAGTTGCATGATGCTGAGGCATCTCTGTGAGATCAATCACTACATGGTGTGTCACAACAATCTGTACGAAGAAGAAGACGCTGAACATCAAGGTATATTTAATACTCGAATGGCAGGACTAACTTTTGAATGTGCGAGACGGGATTTAATTACAGTTAGATGGTAGAGAGATGAAGTTGCGTTCTATTGAGACTTTGTATAACCATCCATACACGGAGAGGTACACAGCTATTAAACCATAGAGACGACGACTCTTGGTCTCAAAACAATAGTACCTGCAGCTATCCGTCGAGAGTTCTGTGCCAACATGGAATACACTCAACCTTTTATCTGTTAAGTTTGTGAAGTAACTCATAAGCAGGATGTTGCCGGGTTGTTTATGATATTGGTGAAGTCTTGAATCGTGTTACATCAAATATAGGAGTTAGAAATTACTCTGAGAATATGGAACTTAGTATTGTCTTCTTTAGTACACAAGAGCACAGATATGTATACCAGTCAATGTCGGAGATGGTAGGCATCGACTTGACTTGTAAGACGAACAATGTGGTGCATGCTCTTTACAGACAAGAAGGGGCCGAGAATGTCTGAATACGATTACGATTGCACAGGAGTACCATATTTGGGATAACTGGCCTAAGTTTTTAAGATGGACTTAGGAACAGCCAAAAGGAGTGCTTTTCAATCCACCCATAGTCACGTCAAGGTGATTCTGTGCTTATTTCACATGTTAAGGGTGTTGTCTGGAAAGATAAGTAATTTCAATTTTTAAAAAGTCGACTGTTTAGTTTTGTACCCTTTCCCGGTCACTATTGTAAATAAAGCAGTTCGTATCACTATCATACACAGGCCGAAGTGCGCGTGACTGTCTTTGGCTGGACATTATGTATGATGTGCTGATTATTGGCTTCTGTCATGACCACCATCAAGCTGACAAGGAAATGAAGGAAGACTACTGTATTATACGTAATACCACTTTTGTGATTCACATGAGCTCGACTAAATCTAGCATATACACTGTATGCATTGCTTTTCCGAGGTCAGTCATTACACATGAAGCAAACAATCTTATCGTGTACTATTCATGGCTAATACGCATCCTAAAAGAAACTGATGTTCATTTGCCACCTTGAATTCCTTGGTAAAGTCATCATGCTGTGATTCTCATCATATTCACGGCAGCCATGGTATGCCAGGTCGACACTCCAACTGAATACAACTTGTGAGGCAAGAGTATGGCAGTTAATCGTTAACTAGTCAGCCTCCTCTGAGG